CCATTTATCCTCACAGCGCGAATGCCGTTCATTTTTTTTTTCATTTAAGCGCTATACGACCTGTGGCTTTACCCTTTCCATGTTATCTGTTCTTTTTTCCTTAACACGTCAATGTATTGACGTAGATAAAAGTCGGTGTTTTATGTTATTTCAAAATGGTAAATTGAATGAAAATGCCATTTGATCAAACGATAACGTATTGAATCGATGATAATTTCAAAAGTTTTTTTTTAATACACAATCTACAAAACGCACAACAACACAAACCCATCGTTATTGACGTCGTCCTCGTCATCGTACTTGGTTTTCGATTAGAAACTTTCAACGCAATTGCATTTTAAATGAAATTTTTTTCCCAATCGTTTCAATTCTTTCGATTAAGTCTTATAGTTTTGAAATCAAAGAAGACGCAAAGAACTTGAAAAAATGTTGAAAGTTGGTGGTCGTTGATTCCAACACCATGACATGGAAATAAAATGCCTCTTAAAACAAACTTTTTTGTTCGTCTTCCTCGGTTATTTACGCATATTGCACATTTTTATATATGTACAACAGGAAGTTTTCTTCCCCGTCGAAGCGCATTTTCGAACTTTGAATTGTGTACTTTTTAGTATGCACCATTTGGCGAATGGAATAAAATGCAGTTGTCGATTTCGTTTATTAAGTGCATTTTCAATTTCTCTCTACAAACAAACGCAATAAAAATGTTTTTAAGTGTATGGTAACGTATATATAGATAAATGGAGCCATTTTCTTCATTCAAACATTCGTATAATGTGGTGCTAGTTGTTGCCCGTCTCTACCATTGCAGCAGTTTTGTGTTATTGTCAGAGCTGCTGTTGTCGTGGCCGCCCATCCATTTCCAGTTCGAGTGTTGTCATAAATTTATAGATTGCAGTTGAAAGAGAGGAAAAAAAAACTTTTTTAAGCGAAAAGTTTTTCTTCCGACGTAGTTTGTTCTTCGTTCGGCATTCAGCAGACGAACATCTTCTAATAATAATCAAAAAAAAGAAGAAAAAGAAAAATGAGTCGGAAGTCAGAAAGAACACGAAATGGTGAAACTTAAAAATCAGTTTCCAATAAACATTTCAAAGCATAAAATATAAATCTATTACTAGCACCAGCCATGTTATGCTCTGTGCACGCCGGTTCAATCAACATAAAATATCAAACTAAATGCAGGAGTAAAATGAGCTGTGCACGGTGTCAATAAACATTGAAAATAGATTAATGTGCGCAAGTACTTTGAAAATGTTCCAAATAGAGGCGCACACACACACATACACATAATTCATCGACACGTTCATACATAAAAACTCAATGGCAAAAGTTTTATTGAATGCATTCAAAAGTTGCACTATATCGGAGCGACACAAGCGCGCGAGAGAGAAAGAGAAAAAAATGTTTGACGCATCGATCACATGCTCTTCTCGCCATCGGAAATGAAGTGAACCGCTCAGAATTGAAACCATTGTAAATGATGTAGTGGAAATGAGCCCATCAAATCGTCTATATTTTTGATAGTTGATTGATTGAGCATGCCGACCAATGAGCAAAATCAATTTTATTATTACAAACCACATGCTGTGTGCAATCGGGCGGGGTATGTATGTGGTTCAATGCAAAAATGATGGAATTTCACGCTTCTCAGAAATTAATTCAATTTTCAATAGATCGCATTATGCAGTTAAAAATATTTGTGAATTTGACGAATTCGGAATTTTATTTCGCAATTCTCTCTCGAATACAACGCAGCACCGATTTTGAAATGTGAACGATTACAATCAATTGATTTGTGAGTGTTTGCAGTGGTAATATTTCGTTGAAAATGAAGTCGAACCAAAATACATTTGTAATCTTTACATTGTTGTGATTCAATTGTGAAGCGCGAGAGTACATTTTTGTTTTCGGTTGTTTTGGTTTTGTTTGAAACCAATTAAAAAGTTAACGAAAGAATTAAAATAGTGTTTTACAAAAATGGGAACGGTTGTTGGAACTTGCATGCCAGACACAGAACATCATCAGACCACCCATCTATCAACTCTAGCGCCGATACGCCGACGATGCTATGGTAAAATTAAAATTAATACCTTCACTTTTCTCTAGCTGACAATCGGTGTTCAATTAATTTACAATTAAATATGTAATGTGCATGTCGCGTCTCAATCACGCTCCAAACCAAAATAAGCTTGATTAATTACTTTGCACTTGGCCATAGAATTAGTGTAAACCGAAAAAATTCAGCTACGCATCAGGTCGCGATATGATAAGACTGTATCGCCGTAAACTGATTAAGACACAATAAAAAACAGGTTGAACCGAAAAAATGGTGTTATTATGGTCTGGTAAATCTGATCGCCATAAATCATTATTTACGTTCGCGTCTTCTTTTTTACTCTCTTTGTTTACATTACATATAACACTTTTTCATTCTGTTTACATTTCATGGTGTCTAATTACATGGGAATTTATGTATGTGTGGTGTGTGATTGAAATGAAGTGATCAAAACACATCGCCAAGGCTACACAGTCACATTCCATTTGGCGATTAGTCAGATGAAATTATGACCAGGTCAATGACACAAAGAATTCTAGCTTTGTAAATTGAATCATTTCGCGTAAACACACAAGTCAATGATTGAATTAAATTGCTTCAATACTAGCGTTAAATTGCGTCTTGCACGTATGAAAAAATAGAATTTTGCCACTTAACTGTGATGATGTATCGCCTCATTCCACTCGCATTTTAATGGCTCGCTCAAAATATTGAAAGCCAAATTATAGATTCTCGTTTTGAAAATCTCATTCAAAATGCATGAAATAATGGTCGGAATATTCCATTTGCTTGAATACCAAGTTCAAGGTTTCGTGATCGATTTTTTTTCGGTGTGTATTACAATCAATTGCCATCATATTTTCAAATAAAAAAAATATATTGGTTTAATTTGATTAAATAGTGGTAAGAATTTATGTAATTAGGGTGTAATTATGAATATATCTACAATTCAATTGAATTCAACCGAATATGATTCATCATCCTCTTCAAGTTCAAAACAATTTGGGCTTGGCCGTATTGTATTTTTCGTGGAATATTCCGAAAATAGAAATTGATAACACTTATTTGCGAAATTAACATTTACTGTTTGTTTAATTTTAGCCACCAAGCAAACTAATTGGCCAAAATAAACAAACGAAAACAATGAACGAATGAGGCGCTATTCCGAATTCGGTCACTGTTCTTGGAATGCGTGTGACGCATTATGGATGTACAAAAAATAGTTGGGATAGGAACACCTTTGAAACAAAAGTCCATGTAAAAATAACGGTATTTTTCTTTAGACTTTATATTTATTGTGAAAGCAACTTGTATGAAGTATAAAGAGTGGCTATACATTAATTTCCACACACACACACACAAATACGTCATTTGTACTAAAAGTGTGTCTCATTAATTGCAGTTGATTCACATCCTATATTTGATGTATATTATCCGTTATGTTTCGGTCAATAAAATGTATATTCAATGGCAAACATTGATGTGGATATAATTATAATTAAATTACATCAATATATTTTCGAGTTTGCTTTGAGTCAACCAAATTGAAATAATTGTCCACGTAAATTGAAATTGATGACGTGCAATATTGAAATTGTGATGTCATCACGTGGCGACTTAAGTGTCATGCAAAGCCGACACGGCAATTACCCAAGTAGAATGAAATAAATGGCGTCTGTTAACCTACAGATGGCATTTTTCATATAGAATGCCTGACAGCAAAGTCAGTGTTTCATTTGACTTTTTCATTTTTCTCACATTTTTCGATTTCCTCGAGAATTGATACTTTAAAAGGTCTTCAACTGTAGTTACAAAATGTCGTGTAAATGAAGTTGAACGCAAAGGAAACAAAAATCGGATGTTCTATGTTATTAACAATGATCGATTTGAGTGACAGACGATAGAGACATGTGATTGTTATTTCAATAATAATTGATACATTCTCATCGAAATTGAATGTATCAAGTGAAAATAACAATTCAACAAAGATTTTGATGGGCGCACGTTTCTTTGATTAAATGTCATTTACGTATCGGAACCCGATTGAAATAAATAGCATCAAATTCTATGACAGTAGCAACGGAAAGGGCACAAAACCATTTGATATAAACTTTTTTCAGGTGGTTCATATTAAAATCGAAAGGGAAAAAGTTAACGACGTTTACAAATTGGTTTTTGTTCCGAAATTCGATGGATAAATGAATGATAGTTGAAATATGTTCGGCCAACAAAATTGACCTCAAATGCGGAACACTTTTCATACGTAAAAATTGTGTGATCTCGGTGTTTAGTATCGAAAAATGGTTTCGATAAATGGCCGGGTTCAATTTTCAATCGATTTTCGTGTATTGAAGCCGATTGCATAGAAACGTGACAATGAAATTGGAAACTTTGCATTTTATATCAAATTTTGTTGTTCGATATTTAACACGTTTCATGAATAAATCAAGTGGGGTGCGTAAATGAGTTTGAGTAGATGGAAATGATGACACTTGAAGTTCTTTTGTCTTCAGTCAACCGAATTTTTGTTGTCCTAATGACTTACATGTATAGATAAATGTGCGAATAAATATTTACACGCTCTGTGATGGCATCCGTTGACAAGATGAATGAGTGTTTTTATCTCCTTTCGCCTTGTCATTGATATTTTCGCATGCCGACTCGATGCTTAGCATATATTTTCATGGTAATGTAAACTTTAACCTTTTTCAAGCCGTTGATAACGCTCAACATGGTCGCGTAGGAATGGTTGCTATGCCACAAACGATCCGGTTCATTATCCAACGAAAAAAGGGATATTTTATTCTCTCTCTCTCTCTCTCTCTCCCTCTCAATTTATATATTATTTATTTTTCATGTGGACCAATTAAAATTTATAACTCTGTAATTTCACTCCAATTTAATGGCTCCCCTTTTCTCTCTCTCCATCTTTTTCTCTATCCAGGTATTAAATGTCCAGTTTGCAGTAAATTTGTGCTACCCGACGATATAGAATGTCATTTAGTAATGTGCCTAACAAAACCTCGTTTATCGTACAACGGTAAGTTTCACATATGTAACTGGATTAAGAATTAAAGAAATGAAATTGCGTCCATTTTCTCGCAAAATGACTGATAATAATTAGCAAATTTAATTTTTGGTTATAATTTTATTTTTACAGAGGACGTTTTAACAGATGCCAAGGGAGAATGTGTAATATGCTTAGAAGATTTAAATGCCGGTGATGTGATTGCAAGGTTGCCATGTTTATGTATTTATCACAAAGGGTAAGTGAATACGGCCACGCCAATTGATTTATATGCAATTTTGTTGCTGGTGAAACGATGACCCCATTCGTGACACACATACACATGCTCTCTATATCTCCGTCTCTATTCTTCATTCCCGAACCATTCTCGGCTGGATTTATGGCCCCCCTGAGCACGTTTCAATTGTTATTACCACTCTCTCATTGCAAATGCTTCGATACCTGTGATTGATCACTCTTTCTCTCCCACATACTAATTTGCTAAGCATTTTCAATTTAACTATAAAACATGAATTACTCGGGAACTTTCATTATTATAGGATATTCATGATTTAATTTGTTCGTTTACATATGCATCGACAGAAACACCCAGAGAATGAAGGTGGATGCAATCGCACGACTGCAAACGTAATTTTAATTTGACAGCCTGTAATAATATTCTAGCAATTGCAAGTGCAAATGTAAGATTGTTTGAAATGAAGTTAAAATAAATATATGCAAATTCCACTGCCATGTAAATCTCATGCTGGGAATTGTAATGAAAATATTTAACATGACAAATACACCTCATCATTGTTCAAACTTTTCGCCAACACAATATTTGGAATTGCATCTCTGCAATTAATTAGTGTTATAAATTTATGTATTTTTATTGTTCTGGTTTTCAATTTTAATTTTGCCTTTTCAATTTAACCATTTCAACAGCAACACTTCAACAATTCAAAACAAAATTTAACACATTTTATTACATTTTGAATATTTTTGTTTTACAGATGCATAGATCAGTGGTTCGATGTGAATCGCAGCTGCCCCGAACATCCTGGCGATTAGTTACTTTAAATATTTCATTCCATCGCGCTCTATTCGGATTCTATGTAAATCAATTTATTGAAGATTGCGGTTTAGCGAATGGAAAAACACAAAAACGGAGGTGACGAAATACTGGACGATTTCTTAGGAAAAAAAATAATAACAACAGAAAGAGAGAAAAAGTATCGACAATTTGAGATTGACGAACACACTGTGCAAAACACTTGTGTGGAATGATGAATATGACGAATATATAAAAAAACAGAAAAAACACTCATTAATTCTTAAAGGCGAAATGCAAATACATATTCGATATTAGAAAAGAGAGAGAGAGGAAGAAAAAAATGATAAAGTGATACATATTTCTATCAAATGATGAATCAGTAACGGCTTTGGTTTTAACCGTAGAAATTAAAATGTAAGAACTAAGAATTAGCCAATTACATGTACGTGTAATGAGTAACGCTTAAGTCAAATGTGAGGTAAATTGACGAGTGCATGTATTGTGTGTTTTTAATGTATGACTGTGAATATGTTTTTAAATGTGCAGATTGAACGAGAGAATATTGATACCGCTTAAAAATACATAAATACAGAAAACTCCAGAGCAAAAAAAATATATGGAAATTTCATTTAGTAGAGAGCATGACAGCAACAGCAACGAAATGATGCGAAAATAAACATTTTTCGTGAAACGATGTAAATGAAATACAGGTGGAGTGTTGAGTGTGGATTTTTTGTCGATGTTGTTTTGTTTTGACACAAAAGCCTTGCAACCGGTAACATTGTACAAAATTAGCAATACATAAAACTACATTCACTTTCTCGATGTCAATGATAAAATGATTTTACTCCTATTGCCATTAATCAATGATAATTTTCCAATATAAAATGTGTTTCATTGGAAAAGACTGTAAAATTTGCTTTTGATTGTGTCCACCCATGCATCAGCAGCTTTGATCATTTTTTCCATTCAATCGTTTCGGATTATTTGCTGCATTTTATTTTGAGGTGTTAAACGATTTTTGTTCCCTTTTCATTGCATACTCACAACATTTCGATGAGTCAGTGCTTCTAAAAAAACGGACAAAATTCGGCATAGCATTTGTTTAGCAATTTTACAATTTCAAACCATATGAATGGATGTGCCCATATATAAGAACAATTGATCTGCGCTTTTCTATACAACAAAACACACACAAAACCTAATATATTCAAATCGATCAATGAGCATATTTTAACCAAATTTAATTGTAATATATAAACTGATTTTATTTTATGTTTGTTTGATTTTTCTTTTCGAATTTTCGAAATGGAAATTACTTTCGCACGTATAATGCAAACAAATCTAATATATGCATATTGTAAGAGATTCTTTTTTCGTTTCTCGTTCGATTTTAAGTGCATAAATTTAGTAACAAATTTTTTCAACAACATACTTTTTAGGAAAACATAACAAAAAAAAAACACAATTGTTCGGATTAAGATAATAAGACGATAAAATGACGATGAATTTAACTGGCAATCATTGATTGACGACGAAAAAAAAACTCGAAAGAAAATTTCACCTTTTTTGTTGTTGTTACTGTTGTTGGCCAAAAGTTGGTAATTCATTTTTCGAATAGAAATCATCGACTGATTCACCATTGCAGGTCAGCAAAATGAAACATTTTTTGATCATTCGTCGATTTATCTCAATTTAAGCGATAATTTCTCTAATTGTAATAAAATTTAGAAACACGTGATAAATAATTTAGTCGTTTAATTTGCGAGCATTTGTGGTTGATTAGTTCTTTTTTTAAAAACAAATTTTTAGAGCATGAAAATATATAATTAACTTCAGCAACGATGATAATGGACCCGCAGACAAATTCGAGTCCACAATGTTTTTGTTTTGTTTTTCTTTTTTCAGCTCGTGTTTTTATACTGATTTTAATAGAGCATATAAATTAACTCGCAGTTCCCATTATATTTGGTAATGGAAAACGATGACATTGCTCATTCTTTTAAAAAAATCGTCCATCATTTCAACCATAAATAATGACGATTTCGTAAAGAAGGAGTTTAAAAAAACAACAACAGACACAAGTATCTCATCAATGACGACTGCAATAGCTGATGATTCTTGAATTATATATATAATCGTCATACACATAATTTTAATAAAAAAAAATTATTACGAATATTGATAACTGATGAAAAAAATGCATGAAAATCTGACAAAAAAACACACCCACACAACATTAAATTAATCAGCCCAATATTTATGGTCTTTGTATAAACATTATTATTATTATCGATATTAAATGAAAACTAAATACCAACAAATTGTGAATGTTATTTGAAAGTGAAATACAAACAATGTAATCAATGAGATAAAGTGAAATTAATTGATAACGATGTAATAAATTAAGGGAAATAAACAAAGAAATCAAAAAAATGATTTGTATCAACAATTTTCTTTTGATTTAGCTAAAAAAAATGCAGAATTTCATTCAGTTACCGGAATTTTTACAAATAAAATTCATATCAAGTCATTTTCCATTTGTTTTTTAACTCAAAAATTCCAACGTTTTTATTGCAGCGAATTTAGTTGGTCAAAATGTCAACATTTGAAGTAAAAGAAATTAGATTTTTTTAATAAATTTAGATAAATTCGTTGAGTACATTTTTTAGTCAAATTGAAACGTTCTCCAATTGGTGCTTTATGTCATTGATTTTGGGCAAATTTTTCGATTTTGTTTTAAATGTCTCAAGTCAATGTGGAATTCGAAAATTATTATCTATAAACAAAATAAATTTGTGTGGCAAAAACGAATAGAGAAACGGAATGAAGAACGAAACTTAGCTCAGAATAGAATGCTTTTCACTACTACTAAAAAATTAAAAAAACAAACAAACATTTTTACGATCTTTCATAGAATGGAATGAAAAAAAGTTAGCAAAAATTAAATTGTCATTTTGAGGCGCAGAGGACTGAATTTGTTTTTAACATTTAAAAAAAGGAATAGTGTGAAAGAAGAATAATTGCAGTTTTAATTGTATTGTGTCGCCAATGAACGTGAAAACCATTAATACAATAGAATTAATGTGTTAAAATAATTTCTTAAAATAAAAACCATAACATTTTCAATGGAGAAAAGAAACACAAAAAAACAATAAAATTCAATGAAAAAACAATGAAATTGCAGCATTTTTTACTTTTTCTTCTTATTTCATTTTTTAGGTTGTTTCAGGTTTCATAGAAAAGAGTGGATGAAGACAAAAAAAACTGATCACAACTGTTCTTCTCAAATCATTGATTTGGACCAAATTCAAATCAAATGATCCATTAAATGTGTATGATTTTATTTAATTTTTTTGAAATCAAATCACAAAAAAAAAAACAAATCAGTTGCACGGCCAATTCAAAACAAATGATTCATTTGATTTGAATGTATCATCTCAAATCATGATTTTTAGAATTATTTGTTGATTTGTCGAATTAGTTGTTCTCAAACCCTGCTGAGGTTTGACTATTAAAATATATCAGTCGCATAAAGGCTTCCAAACGAAACAGACATCCTTTATTCTGTCGCCTTGTTCTACTAGTATTCTCATTCTTTGCCAGTGATCTTCAATCCGGACAACATTCTCATCGTATTTCAAGTTTTCAAGTAGCCGCTGTATCCGAATACTATTTATTTCACAAATTGATTTGTTCGCACGACTCCGTTGGTTTTAGAAAAGCGCGTTTTATCAAAATAAAAATGGTGTTTATCAGAAGTACTGTGATCTTTTTGTTGATGGCATTAGTAGTAATATATTTCTCTTCAAACACTGGAAGCGCATCGATGCCAATGATGGACTTAGGAAAAACTCCAAACATCAACAAAACCAATAGGACCTGCAGATTCTGGTTTTTATGTTAAGACATGAACTTTAAGTGCTTTTAACTGTCATTTGCCGAAAAATTAAATATACGTTGTGGATGCTCATCTCAATGTGTTTTTTTCATCATATTTTAATATCAAAAGTCATGTTTAATAATTGTAAAATAAAATAAATGTCAAATAAAATATGGTACTACTCAAATAGCGACTACGGTTATTTTGCTGAATTCGATTGCATGATTTCAGGATTGCTGTCACTCTCTTTGAATGAATGTCAAAAATACGGAACAAAAACATTGCGTCCCGATTCAGCGTTTCCTATATTATCTGTTAGCAATGCATATGCGAACAAATGACGCACGCACATGCGCCTTTCAGTTGAATCACATTCGAATTGCAACAACAATACCAAATAAAATTCGGTCGCATGAGGAATTGTACAACAACAATCACAAGCAAAGCATTACACTGTTACACATTTGGTCCTTGTGCACACATACACACACTCATGCACACACTGTATAGCACCCTTCGAATATGGAACGCGTACATTCACACGCACACATAGATACGCGCATCACTGTAACTCTACTAAAACCGATTTCATCCCCAATCCCAAATGGTTCGTTCGTCATTCGTAGTTGTGTACGGATGTGAATAGCGCACAGAATACGGTCACACCCTTACTGTAGCAAAAATTGGAATTATTTTTTTTGTGTTTCACACCTCAAACTCATTTTTTTTATCAATCAATTGCAATATATGTGAAAAAGAACATGATTTTTTTAAGTTAAAGGTGTTATCAACCGTATTCGTTTGCTATTTATTTGCAAAAATATCTCAAATGCGTAGTGTATGTGCTGGTGTAATAAATGTGATGTGAGATAGTGAGTGTGATTTTTTTTCGGCTATACCATCCGTACTCCATTGTGGTTAAACGGGAACACATAAGAAACAAAGCCAAAGACACAAGAGTTCGATGTCCGGTTTTTACTATGCGCTGTACGAACTGAAAACGAACGAGACAAGTGCAGATTCACTATTTTAGTCATTGAATAAATAAAAAGAAAAGAAAAATAGCAAAAAAAAAAGATAAAAATAAAATAATAATATTGTGAAAATTACGTGTATCATTGCACTTAGTGGGATTTTTTTTCGCATTTATTTGTTTTGCGTGGTGTAATTTTTTCTATTAAGTTAGTGATGAAATAAAGAGGAGAATCGTACGTGCATGAAACGAATTGAGTAGTAAAAAAAGGACAAAGAATAGAGCAATTTGTTTAATCAAGAGAACGTAGATTTATTAAATTTATTTCGATGGCGGTGAACGGTGTCAGTGACGATCAATACAAAGTGCCGTTGATAGCTAAGCTATTGAATTCGCTGCCCCATTACAATATCACATTTCATCGCACTAATAATACCTTTCGACCGACCGATGAAGTTTATCTGGAGGTTTGTTACAATCTATCTATCTATTCAAATTGCATTGCACTCCAATGAGCATGATTAATTCAAAACATACAACAACAACAACATCAATGACGAAATAGACCAAATATAGCACCGAATATATAAGACAAAACAAAGAGAAACGGAGATGAGAAAACAAACAAACATCCAATTAAAAGAGCGATTAAAATATTCGTTTTTGGATGGCATGAACTCTAGCCGCCGCTATTTTGTCTTCATATAGATGTGCATATTTGCTATTGAATAGATGTTGGAGCATAAATAGGACGTCAAGTACTTATTTTTCCATTACAAATAGAATAGACAATATGAATGAATATGTAATCGTTTGAAATAGAGAGAAAAATTGAAAAGGCTCGTTTTTTCCAACAGAATATGTGTTTTTTTTTTCTCCTACTCCGCCATCTCTTTTTATTCATGCCCATTCAGTTCTTTTTGTTCTTTTTTTCCCTCGAAGTTAAAATTGAGTGCAATAGAACTGACCGTTTTATATTCTAAAAAAAACGTTTTTTTTCTCCTTTTATTTACAGAGTTTGGGAATTCTCGGTTCTGCACCGGCTGCACTGCTGATCCTTTCATTGTTCGGACTGTTATTGTACTTATTGACACGATGTTGCGATCGAAAACCACGAACACAGCACTCAATAACGAGCTTGAAAGTGACATTGTCAGTGGTTACGGTGCTTTGTTGTGCAGCCATTGGCCTAGGCAAGTGTTGAAAAAAAAAATCTTGTTTTTTCCCTGCACTTCTAGCACCTCTTTGTACAATGTACATGTGTATGTATGTGTGTGTATATGTGCATTTTTCTTTCACATCAAATTTATGTTATCACCCATTTTCCATTGTCATTTCGTTCGTTCGCTGGCAAATTTCCATTTTCACGTAATGACAATAAAATGTTAACTAATCGCACAAAGTTGTGTAAACACTGAGCCCAGCCAAGCCATTGGATTTTCTGCTAATTCATGGAAATTTTAACACACAAAACCAAAAAAAAAAACAACAGCAATGGCAACCTTTCATATGGCAGCAATAGTAACCTTTCAAAGAGGTGCCATAAAAATGGAAAACTGTTGTTGTTCATAGATAGTTTGGGTAACAAATGTGTTAATATATGATGGTGTGTGGCCAATCCTCTATTGATTTACATTTTAATGTATTCAGTCATCATAATGGGTTTCGTTAAAGAATCTCTCTCTCTCTCCACACATTAATAAATAACAACGCAATTTAATACAAATATATCAACGGCGCAACGCTAATAAATCGGTATATTTTTGAAGCTTTGCCTTTGAAGGAAAAAAAACACCTTTTATGTTCACTCCAAATGGGTGCTTTGTTCACACAGACAAAATGCAAAACCAATGTGATGGATATCCATTTCCATTTTGGATTATCATTGTATTACAAACACACACACGCCAAATATACACATTGCGATTTTCACGAACGGATTTATAGTTGAATAAGCAAAAATAATATATTAAATCAACAACGTTCGGTTCGGCAAAAGCGCATTAAAAATGAGACGAGACACAACTAGACGGTCGACGCTGACTTGCCATCTCATGCATCTATCCATCCGATTTCACGGAAAAATGCTTTTGACGACTCATTTTTCCATTTTATTACAACATGCATATGCAAGACTTTGGGCGCAACCATAAAGCACTACTTCACAGTAGTTTAGCTCAATTTAATCAAGTGCAATCCAATGAATTTTTAATGACAAATTTCTTTCTTTATTTTTTATTCATTGAAACCAACAAAATAAACTACACCCAAAATACAAAAAAATAACTTTTCACATACATCGACATGATTGATTGACACACAAACGAACAGGACTTTATGGTAATGATGATTTACATAATGGTTTATCGGAAGTTTTGGCAGCCGGAAGAAAAGTGGATAACATTATATCGTCGGTACGAAATCAAACGCAAACATTGGAAAGTACATTGGCAAATAAAATAAGACCACAACTTGTCGAATTAGCCGACATCTTTGATCAACCAGCATCCAATCAAACGGCACTCTCTCAGCTCATTTTATCGTTGACTGTTGTACAAGGTATAAATGACACATCTAGTTTGACGTTAGAACTAACTTTATTTCGTAACCAGCATCCATATAATGTTCATTATTAATTTTTTTTTTCACAAAGGTAACGTTTCAACAGCAAAAAACGCTGCTGCTGACATTAGAAAACCTTTGATGCAAGTTACAATCAGTTCGTTTTTATCGGTGAGTCATAAACACTAGGTCACTTTTCGGAATAAATTTGATTATAACGATTTTGCTTTGTTATATTTTACGTCACATAAATAGAAAGGAGATCAATATGAATTAATTCGTTGGCCAGGAACGGTTGCTGTGTTGGCCCTTTTACTTGTGTTATGCGCAGTTTTACTTGTGGGAGTTGCAAGGTATTTCATCGACAATTATTCATACTTTTACGTAAATTTTCTTTGACAAACTTTAATTTTGTTCTTCCTCTTCCCTATTTGCCGTCGCATCGCTTAATTAATGTGTACAGACACTCACGATGGTAAGAAAATTCAAATTTTTCATTTAAAAGACTGAAATCGGTATTGATTTTTCATTTTTCTCTTTTACTTGCAGTGCTCTGATTTTGTTTAGTGTGTGCGGTTTACTGGCGGTGACTGGATCTTGGTTAATGTCAGGCTTATATCTATCGAGTTCGGTGGCTGTCGGGGATCTATGTATGGATCCAGCTGGCTATCTGGTGTCACAATCACCAAACGATTTACCAAATGACGTTTTACTCTACTATACGCAATGCGATTCTTTTCGTTCGAATCCTTTTACATTAAGATTGCGAGAGTCACAGAATGCAATCACTAATGCACGTTCGGCAATGAATATCGTTCAACGGTATGCACCTTCTTTCTCTATTCTCTATTCTTTGTGGAATATTATATGAAATATTCGCTAATATGACGATTTGATATTTTTATACAGAATTTCATTGGTGTTGTACAAATCAGCCGGATTACAACCAAAACTTGGGGCAGTTACGGCTGATTTAAATTCAAGTGAGCGACTCTTGACCACATTAACTGCATTGGTTGATTGTAAAGCTCTTCATCACAATTATTTGAGTGCAACAAAAGGTTTGTTTTTGTTTTCGACACCCAATTAGTAAGTGTGTTCTAAATATGACTTTACCATAATTCAACTAGGTTTATGTGAGAATGGATTACTCGGATTGGTATTGATGTTGATAGCCAGTTTTACAGCAGCTATTTTATTGACTATCATGGTTTGGGTTTGTAATATATCTTATTATTTATTGGTGTAGAAATAAGTTTTCGTTGGATATTTTTTTGCATTTAGATACGCTATGATTTTGTTTATTTTATTTGAACCTTTTATTTGATTTCAAACAGGTTGACTCGCATACCTGGATCTATATTCGCAAAAGGATTGATTATTCACAAGGTAAGTAGAATGGTGACTATTCCAGGCTCTAGGGCACAACATTTTCAATGATGTCTTCTCCTGCCGATTGACATCATTTAAATGACATTGAAGAACTCAAAAAAGAATTGATGCGTTAACTACTCTATAATTATTTTATTCATTCACAAGTTGATGAAGCATCTTATGCATCGCATCAGCAACAAGGCGTCGCACAAATGCAGCAGCCAAATCATAACAACGTTACAGCCCGTACTCTCCCAAGAAATATGCACAATGGGTAAATGCAAGAATGTTTTACATTGATTGTTGTAATGAATTTTAATTGGCCTATTTTTTTATGTGATTTATAGACCTCCGGTTATAAGTGGTTCGCACACATTACAGCATCCAGGTCGTAACAAGCATGAAATGATGATATATCAGCAGCAGCAACAACAACAACAGCAGCAGCAGCAGCAAAATATGCGTCAACTTGGTTCGATGACGATGGGTCGAATGCCCCCATCACACATGAGCCCACAGCATCACAATAAGCATGGTGAGTGTCATTATTCAGTTTATGACAAACATTTTCTTTATATAGAAATGCATTGGCTCTTAGATTTTATTTTCCTCTTTTGTTCGATCAAGAAAATAAAAACTCACACACAAGTAGAATTGACACACATTGTAGCGCCTTTTGCGAAACAAGTATATAAATTTAATGACACATTTCTTCTTTTTTGCTTTTTTTCTTTTCTTCTTGTTACTTTTTTTTATGTATTGTTGTGTGGTTGTTTGTATTTTGACTCTCACGTAAATAAAATAATGATTAAAAATTGTGTGTGGTGGATAAAGGACCAAATAATGGTAAATACGCCACATTAAGCAAGCAATGTAAAACTTTAGAAGCTAATGATTATTACTGAAAATCAACAGTTTGCACAGATGCAAGGCAATATGCGATGCAACAACAACAACAACAACAACAACAGCAACAACATCAACAACCAGGAAACGCTCCTCAACCTCAATATCATCAAATGCCCGCACAAATTCCCCAATACGGTCAAACCCAACCAACGTATCAAACTCAACCACAATATGTAATGTCACAAGCACAACCAAACCAGCAAATGCAAGATCGACCCCGGCAAAGTGTGCCCAACGAACAAATGGCACATAATATCTATCAGCAACAAATGATGGCTGGTCTACCGCAAAATGTGCTCTATCATCAGCAGCAAATTCAAAATCATTATTCGTTGCAACCACAAATGCATCGATCGCCACCAACGAGTCAACATCAAATGCCGCCACAAATGCATCCTCAAGCCAATATTTATTCGCAAAATAATGCAGCCGCCCTCATGTCGGGAGCGGCCACATTACGTCGTCCACCGCAAAATCAAATGCGCGATGTAATGGACCAAAATCCGAATGCCAATTTACCCGATCCAATGATGGACAATCGTGACAAACAACAGATTTTCAAATACTCTACATTACGTCAAGGCGGTAAATTTGATCCCAGAAATTTCGGACCACGTCCAAACATTCCAAACGGAGCACAAAATCCGGCTACACAAAAACCATCGATTTTAAATTGCCCACTGCCCGAAATACCCAAAGAGCATGCCGGTAGCAATGGTAATGATGCCACATCACCACGCAATTTGAACACAAACGGAACTCCAGCTGGTGTGAATCCAGCAATGACACGGTAAATTTAAATTCTAACATTTTTGCATCGGATTTACTACATTAATTCTTTCTGACCCCCTCACTTCGAATGCTAGCACACTACAAAGACCATTTAAAAATCTTCCACCAACTGGCAAAGCAATTCCACCACCAAAAATAGCCGATTCACTGTATCAATCGAAAGCAGCCCTAACAGCCAAGCCACCAATCTCCACATCGATCGCAAATCCAACGAACGGCACCACCATTACAACGCAATCAAATCATCCACAACAACCGCAATCAATCCAACCACCATCTTCACCTCCTTTACCTCCGCCACCTGAGCAAACACAAAACCTACCTGCGCCTAGCGACTATGCTGTGACAGAGTTATAAATCAATTCTTTGCACTGATCATTTAATTTTGCGCCATTCCATTATTCGAATCGTTCGACCTTGATCGCCTCAAAGACAAAATGGAAATTTAAGAACAAAAACGAATATGAGAGACTTGATTAAAATTCAGCATCGAAATTTTTATATAATTAATTTCATGTTTTCAATGTTGCCAATCACATGTGCAGAAGAAAAAAAAATATTGCATGCAGCCAAAGATCAATTAAATTCTTTTTTTTTTTTTAAATGCGCAATCGTGTAAATATATTTTCAAAAAACAAAAAAAGAAGAAAAAAACTGAATGATAATCTTTTCTACCATCGTTCTCATCTCTTCTTTTGTCCCAAACTTTCTCAATTGTTAAAGCTTGATTGTACTAATTTCTTATATATATATATATTTAAATTTAGCGGTAGAACACAACCAGAAAAATTATCATTTAGGTCAATAACAATAATGTAATCAATGAATAAATATAAACGGTTATTTATGCAAACATAGGAGGCTACACGTTTGTCACAAGCACACCGGACGATGAGCTGCATGATTCCATGCCAAATTGCATGTCACACACATTTATTTATAGAATTTAGATATCGATAGCTCTTATCTCTCTACATCGGATACACCAAGCTATTCAATAAAAAAAACCAAACATTAAAAAAAAATATTTATATAACTATTATAAACTTAATGAAAACCAAACCAAAAGAAAATGATTAACTGTAGCATACATTTTGGAACGAAAGCCGATCTATCGGCCTAAGTGAATCGGAACGATCAAAGGAAATTAGATATTTAAAAACTCCAATGGAAATGATAGCGAGTGATCGGTTAGAGAATAAATGAGTGCCAAAATGGATTTAGTTATTGAACGAAATAAAAAAATCGAATGATGAGATTGAATCGAATGTGGAGTTGAGATTTTAGAAACACATTTTTACCTTCTTTTAGATGCCCTAGTTTACACAAATGCAATAAAAAATGTCACACACAAAAACACACACATAGAGACCACATTTTTGGAATACGAATACAAAATATGCAATCAAAATTTTGAACACCTTTTTCCAATAAACCAACCAAGAGCAAAGCGAAATCAACAAGGGAACAATCACATCTGTAGCTCACATTCCACATTTCAAAATCCAACCAATTCAATTGAATACCAAAACAATTTTATGAACATTTTAAATGAAACACTTTTTGATCCGAAAACGTTTTTTGTAGCGATTCCCGTCTTTTCGATTTAACGTTAATTTGAATATAAAATGATTTAATAATGTTTGAAAATAAAATGTATAATCAATGGTATGGAAAAATGATGAAGTTATTAATCACAAAACTTAAGTCATAGTCATTATATGAAAGTGCAACATTTAAGTCACATCGAGTATGTTCCTATTAACTAAACATGCTGAATAAATGCAATATGCATCTCTCTCACACTCTCATTGTATATAAAATAATTGAACGATTTGATGATGAATCGAAAACTGCTTTAGAACATTGGGAATTCGATCAATTTTGATTGTTTTGAATACACTATCGAATTTTCTATAATAATAGTCAGCATAAATCATATCGAAATTGAATTCGGACCACATTTTATTCTACCATTTTTATTTTGTCATTTTTTTTTAAATTCCATTTTATATTTTCAAGCAAACAGAAACGAATGCAAAATTTATGAAAACATGCACAAACATTTCTTTTAAAATAACCTTTTGCAAACAAAATTGACAAATTTACAAAATACGCAATCAAAATGCAAAATATTTTAAAGATAATAAACAAATCTAAAATAAAAAACAAATGGCATCTTGGGTTTCGTGAGCTAAACACCAAACACTGCCATATAAAATATGCACAATAAATATATGTCTTTTTTATAAATGTTTTGAGTGAACATTTCGAACATTTCATCAGATTAAATTTTAAATGCAGGACATTTTGATGAGTTTTTTTTTTAATTTGGCAATTGTCTTTTAACCATTTTGGATATTCACTGTACAAACAATTCATTGGTTTTAATATCATTTTTATACGATTCAACAACACAAGCTGATACAAAAATTCTTTGCGAACAATTCAGAATGAAGCATCGTATTTTTTGTTAACAGATCGAATAGTTGATAATGTCATTGCATTTTATTGTCTTTGAATATAAATGTCATTTGTATCGAGGTTTAATAGAAAACATTCACCTGAATACAAGTGAATTAAATCGAACACAAGTTGCGATATGAAACAAATTATGTACTCAAAAAATCATAGGGCAATACATAGATGCTCAGCAAAATACAAAAAATGTGATTTATATCGTTTATGGAAAGGAGCATCGAAAATCCTCTTTGTTCTTCAAAGAATAAATTCGACCCTTGCATGTCATACACGGTGGCGTCAAGAGAAAAAAACTCAATACTGTTTCTCGCTCCATTTCATTTCCTGGATATACATTACTGTTCGTTTGACTCGTCTGTGTATCAAAAAGCCACACGCACAGTAGTATATATTCAGCAATTGAGATGGCACTGGAAGTGGTAATGAATTTTCTGCCCTTGCTGCCACCGCATGCAGCATGTTAATATACAAATTAAATCACAGAAAATCATACCAATTTCTATGCCGAGCAACAAGTAGTAGATAAAATCAACAGAAAAAAAGAAGCGTATTCATAATTACTATGATTAGAATGGTTGACATTCAAATAAATAAGAACATGAACTTACTAGTAAACGAGAAAAAAATGTACTAAACAAGAACAAAATAAAAATGAAAAATTCGTGTTACATATCGGTGTTTTATTCACAGCTCGGAAAATTGATAATTTTGAACATACTTGCCAATTGAATTGGGATAAATTTTCTGTATCAACATTTAGCCACACGGTGAGCCTACTGACAAATGTCTTCGTACAGTAACGCCACAAACGATAATAGACGGTGACGTTTTGAAACGGCGTTTCAACAATAGCTATTGATCTTGTCTTACAGAGTATGGTACTATTTGTGTTTTCACATCTAAGTGCTTAGTTGACTTGTTGAACGTCGAATCGATTGTGGCGTAAACAATCATCTAAAATTATATGAATGTCCGAGAATGAAAGCGAGACTTCTATTCACAACTTATTGAAATGTAACACCGCCATACAAAAAGTGCTGACTCTCAGGTTAGAAAATCATTAAATCATAAGCATTTCAGATAACACAATGCTTTCTGTGTTTCATCCAGCGAAAAAACTATTGAAGAATGTAGCGCAAACACCAGTTGGCAAACGTCAAGTGCGACGTTTGCCAATCAGTCTCAATCAATACGCGAGCAAGAGTAGAGCGGAGGGTTTTTGCTGCCGATGTGCCGGCTTTATTTTTAAAAAAAATCGGCATTGATTTTAGAGAGAAAGAAAAAAACGCATTATATGTGCCGAATAGAATATCATATGTTCATAGCGGTATTCGGGACATAGAATTGCCGAACATGAACAATGCATATAAAAGTAAAGCACATGTATTGATCGATTAATTTGTGTCGCTCCCAAATGAAGAGTGAGGATAGGCAAAGAGCATATTAAGCTGGTGCAATAATTAAATCACGCACCGAAATCGCACAACACCAAACTAGCATGCTCTTATATGTTTGGGGTGAAAGATAAAGAGAGAGAGAAGTGAATCGTTTGTGCCACAATCGAAATCACATGTTTATTTTTGCTTCGTTTATTTGTGTTGCATCCGAATGAGAGAGAGAATAGGGAGAGAGCAAGTTGTGTTGGTGATCTGAAAACATCGGCTTCAAAATCGCACCACCAACATAACACGCTCTCTCTGTACTCACGTATATTTTCCGTATATTTTAAGAGGTTAAATCAACCGGCGCTCCGACCACGGTTGCTGATGTCTACATCCGATTCAGCCTGGATGCGGACAATGTCGTGGCAGCCCATATCACGTTAAGTGACGCCATTTTATTTGAGTGGGTCGACAAAGGATCGATTTTGGTTACGGGGGAAAAAACGATGTAGTTTGACTCCGAAATCGATTCTTTGTCGACTAGATGTGCTGATGGATGATTATAAAATCACCTAGAGGTTTTTTTTAACTTTTCCCTCTAAGTGAAATTAAATAAAAAATAAAATCAACCAAATCATAAAACTAATTATAAGCAAATGTAGATCTCTGAAAAATTCAAAATAATGAATGCAGCTAAATTAAATTATAAAACAAGTAACCTATTGTTCCTTTAGCTTGTAAATAAAAAATTAATTTATATAAAATCACCATAATCAATCAGCCCATCACGCACTTTAATAAAATTGTGCACAAAACTCAAGGGCTCTGTGAATTTTGGTCGCGGGAATTTTGACCGCCAAAGAAATGGAATTTTAGTCGCTGCGACCAAAATTCCTTTTATGAAAGTTTTTTGGTCGCTGTTAAAAAAGAATTTTGGTCGCTACAAAAAATTTGAAAAAGAATTTTGTTCGCGGGTTTTTAGGGTAAGGAATTTTGGTCGCTACGAAAGGAATTTTGGTCGCGGTGAAAGGAACTTTGGTCGCTACCAAAAATGTGAAAAAGAATTTTGGTCGCGGCTTTTTGGGGTTAGGAATTTTGGTCGCTAAAAA